CATTTGTATGACAACTGGAATGATCCAGTGGAGAGGGAAACACATGAAGGAGTGAGCAAACTTCCAGGAACAAAGTCCTATAGGAAGTAAAAAGAGGTAATCTGATGTATAAGGGGAACTTGGCCTTCAATAGGAGCAGAGACACTTCTGCCATTGTTTTAAAAAGGATGATGGAGAACATAAGTATAGACAGAAGAAGATTTGTAGATTTGTGTTAGGAAGATGAGAATTCTAGTTCAATTCCTAAGAAGTCATTCTAATTTAGTTCAATTGTTTTTTGAAATTTGATGCATATATATGTTGATGCTATAATGAACAGGCTAAAACTCTTCATCAGAAACAAAACAACCAGAAATGTAATTCTGTTAAAAACCTTAAAATTTGATATCCATATAGCTAATGTTCTGAAACTAATTACTGAAGATAAATAAAAGAGAGAAGAATATTTAACTATACAGTAATATAACTTAAAAACAAATCACTAAAAAGATCTATTATAAAATTTAAGGAATGAAAGGCTACTATTACAGAAATTACTCACAAGCTAAGTTAACTACTGGTAGACAAGAAAACATTCTTATAAATAAAGCATTTTAAGCTTCTCCATCACTGCTAAGTTGACTTGATAAACAATGAAGCACAAGTGTAGAATGACGGTTGAGAACGAGTGACACACACAGTAAGTATATGGCAGAAAATAAACCTTGATGTTTTAAATGCTAACACATATGTCTAGCAACTACAATGTTTTAATAAATACTCAAAAATCATTGATAAATGTTAAAGGGCCTGTGATAATAGATTTTTTCCCACTGCTTTTGTGATTATCTTATTGAGCATTCATTTTATACTATTTGTGTGTCATTTCAGCAAAAACTTTGGAAAGGGAAAAGGAAGATTCAAATGTCTTTGGAGAGTTTTTTTCTCCTAGTAGTTGACTGAACAAGGCAAAGAAAAAATTTGGAAAGATTATATTCTGAAAAAATAAAAATAATATTACCTCACATGAAAGTGAAGAAATCATCTCTAATCTTTATAGAGGCAATTCTCATCTACACTGTCTACATACATATTGCCTATGTGTGTACCTACGTATATGTATAAATTGCACATGTATCTTTATCACACATAGAAAAAATAAGGAATCACTTTAGTTATAGGAAAGTAAGAACTCTTTCACTGAGTTCTGTTAATGGAGAGGTGACTTTAATTCCTTTCTCAAGTACCCCCAATCCTTGGTCTTCTTATCTGGCCTCCTGGACTAACTGCCAATGCAACTGTCTTCATTGGCATAGCAAACAGCCACTGAGAAGAAAGTAAACTGTTCTGTCAACACCTGACACTCACCACTGCTTTTCTTTTCCTCTGCCCCAAGTGATTTCCCTGGCAGTGGCTTCTGGGAAAAGGGAAGGAGAAACTGGCTCATCTTTACTCTTCTCAGTATTAATGTACAATGAGACACAAAGAATATCCTAAAGCGAATTTTCTCCATGTCTGTAATATTTTGGCTGGCAGGACCATTTTTGACCCCCTTCTTTAGAACCTTAGACACAAACAGAATCAGATTAAAAATTTGGTCAACACAATATTCAGCATATTTCTTGTCTGGAAGTTAAAGTATACTTTTCCTTATTTAGTCAACAAATAGGTAAAAAAGATTCTCCAAAAAGCACTTAAATACTCCCCATTCCTCAAATAAAGGTAGTTCTTATAAAACCCTACTGGATACAGCAAAACTACATAGAAAAGCTAAGCTAGCATTGATCAAAACTTTTGGATTAGTCTACTTCAAGTGTTACTTTTAGACCTTTAGCTTAGTTGTATTGTCTTTGACTCACTTAGCTGAACATTCAAGTGGACTGGCAGTATAAAAGGCTAAATTATTTCTTCTATACTTTGTCTTGCAACCTGCTTTCAGAACCAAGTTAGGCAGGCACAAGCCTTAATCAGCTACATGCTTGAAGCTTTCTTAATTAGCCATACACAGTAGCTGTGCTGGAGCACTGAAGAAGGATGTTTTAATCAATTCACTAATAACAGAGCTATCAGTAATTAATTTAAATAACATAATTGATCTAAACAACTTACTTATGGATTAATTTTTTCTTTAAGAAATTTTCTTTAAGAAACCAGCCTTTGTAATAAAAATACCTGAGCAGCTTCTTCTGTTTGTTGTGAAGTAAATTTTTCTTTCAATGCATATAGCTGACATGCAAGGTAGTAGCATTCCTTTCTCAGCTGTAGGATGATATCTTGGGCCTCTCTCACTTTGGACTTTTCATTTTCCAAAGCTAAAACTAACATTCTGTTGTTGTCTTGATAATTTTTGAGCAGTGTAGAAGTATTGGCTAAAAGAAGACAAAAAAGTTTATCACTTATTAAATTTAAACTTAAAAAGTGATGTGAAGGAAAACATAAAAATATCTTACTGATTATTTGGCACGGTGCAACTATAAAAGACTTGCGTTTGCCAATCTCTGCCAAGTTTTTATTCCTTTTCTCTTTCATTCGCTTCTTTATGTCTTCAAGACTATCTTGAAAGGACTTTTTAAGGCACCTTTCCTTGGCCATCTTATGCCTAAGAATTTAAAACAAAAAATACTTAATTTTTCTCACAGACAATATTATCAAATATAAGACTTAAGAATGAAAATATAGGTTGTTATAAAGAATGGATTAAATAGACTCAACTGTAACTCAAAGTAGATAAGTTAGCTGACCTGATAATAATTTAAACTTTGCAGCTTTAGAATCTCATTAATATTTTTGGCATAATCTTATCCTCCTCAGGCACTTTATAGGGAAGTTTTTTTGAATATGGATTTCCAACCCCCAAATTCCATAATATTCCACTTATTCATTCTTTAACAAATACTCACTAGAGCCTATATGCTAGGCAATATGGGAAGTGCTTATTATTTTGATGTCATAATTATTTACGTTTCTTACAAAAAATGTTTACAAGCAACTTTAGTACTTAAACTTACAGCATTAGTTCAGCAGTGATCATATATTTGTACTTTGTTTTCCAGATCTTCTCTAATTATTAATTTATCAGAATAGCTCATTCAATTATTCTTCCACACTCTTTTAATCCAGTAACACTTAACATATGCACACACTATCAAGAAAGTCAAGGTGTTCCACAGAGGTTTAAACTATGTAGCTCTACATACAATTTTAATAGGCTATTATAATTATAGAGCTGGAATGCGCAGGAACTAGGGCAGAGGAACATGTTAGTATTCTCAAAGTTACTGCTAAAATTCAGGGCTGTAAATTATGAATATAGCAAATAAGACATTAAATAAAGATTGTTCCATATACAGTTTGAGGTTGTAGTGAGCAATGATGACGCCACTACAGTCTAGTTTGGGCAACAGAGGAAGACTGTGTCTCAAAAAAAAAGTAGTAAAACATACAATGTCAGAGGAATATGCTACTGAGTATATTAATACATAAGAACACTTGATCTTTCAGTGCTACAAATCAGATACACTTCATCATGCTACTAAACATGTCAAGCTACTCTTTATGAATATCTTTTACCCTAGATAGCACTTTGCAGATTTTAACGTTGCAAAAAAAAATTTCTTGTTTCCTATGATAATCCATGTATACAATTTTCACCATAACAGGTATTTTCATTTCCTCTAAGTAAGTAAAATATTTTCCTAAACTTAACATTTTCTTGAATATTTTCTCCAGGTCTTATTTTCCTTTTTGCAGTGTCTGGGGTCTTAAATATAATGTAGATTCCATTTAAATATTTCCTTTCTACCAACATATATACAATATATACTGGGAGGTTCCCAGCAGAGCAGGGGCAACTATTTTTTAAAGCAGTAATGGCAAGTGGGTTGTATAAAACGGCCTACCACAATGAAGTTCTGAAATTAGAACTGGAGATGTTTGAGAGCCATACAGATTAAGGAAATGATCTAGTTTACTTACGGTATTTTAAAAGCAAAGCCTTATCTAAAAAGCTTTCATTATCACATTTAATAAAGTTAATATCATAAAAGAAATTTGTCATAAGTTTTATTTCCTGTCTAGGGCGATGGTGTTATCAGGGGGTGTGTAGAGGGAACGGAGGGACGAAAGCTGAGACAGGCCAAGGGGGCAGGACGACGGTCTCAATGGTTACAGTATTTGTGCATGGGCTCTGGATCCAAAAGAACTAAAATATTTGATCTCCACCCATAATTCTCCATTCAGTCTGCAGGGGAGGCAGCCAGATAGCGCACTAGTCAGTTCAGGCCTCTCCAGGGTAACTGAGGAAGTGAGAGGCCTGGGCAAGGAAAGGACGTCAACGCTGCCCAAAACAATAGCTGCCAGTTTTTCTGTGTGTCCTCACGTTGAGCCTGGCTTTCAACGACTGCAAAAACTTTACTTGGGAATCTCTTAGTCTACACAATTCTGCAAGGTAGGCAGGAGGTTCGCGACCGCATTTAACAAGTGGAAACCGGAGCCTCGGAAAGCACAGACCGATCAAGCGGCTCAGGAGCATATAAAGCACCCGCTCAGTTCGACTCCGCATCGGGAGCTATCGGCCATCGAATTTAGAACGACACTGAGAAGCTGGGGGAAGCCAAAGAGAGGGGTCAGTACGCCTTTGTTCCACACCTGAAAAACCTACGGCTTTCAGTTGCTCCGAGGGCCTCGGGGAGAGCCGAGAAGGCGGTCGCCGGAAGTGGGCCTGGCCACCCTTTTCCCTCAGGCAAGTCCAAAACGTTACCTCGGCCACTACTTCTGCAGCAGCTGCCGCCCTCCTCCTCACATTCCAAGGCTCGGCGAGAGTCTCTCGCTGCGCGCGAGTCCGCGATCCGGGGCCTCCAGGTCTGCGGCACCGACTCTCGTCGTCCGCAACTACGGCGACAACATTCGAAATTTTCCGCCACGCTCACCCATTGGCTAGCTGGTGGGCGGTCACGTGACGCGACGGCGCAGCCACAGCCACAAACGCCGGCGGAGTCCCACCCAGCCAGGCGACGTCACGTGACGCACTCAGGCCGGGCGTCCACATCCGGGCATCTACCAGGTTCCATTCGCCCCCGCTGGGGGGCGGAACCAGTGGTCCAGCCCCTCAGAACTCGCCAGGCCAGGACTTTTCTGCTGAGTCGCTGGACTTTTATGGGTGGAGTGACGCCCAGACCTTTAAGACGGGGTATGTTACCTCGTTCAAAGCTTCCTGTTTCTTTAGCCTGACAGCTTCCCATCGCCCAGGTTGTGCTCAAGGGCTCCCTCTTGTGAGAAGAATCTCGACCGGTTACCTGCTCAAGCAGTTAGCCAGCTTGCTTGCTACTTGGAGGCGGCTGTTAGGGAAATTAAAACGAAAACAGGCAACACACTTTGGATTAGAGAGGTATTGGGGAAACTGTAGATATCTGAAAATTTCAGTTACATGTTCTTTCTCTTAGCCGGGCTACCCCTGGCTGTTTAATTCTTTTTTTTTTTTTTGAGACAGTGTCTCACTCTGTTGCCCTGGGGTCAGCCTAGCTCACAGCAACCTCAAACTCCTGGGCGCAAAGGATCCTCCTGCCTCAGCCTCCCGAGTAGCTGGGACTACAAGCATGCACCACCTTGCCCGGCTAATTTTTTTCTATGTATATTTTTAGTTGGCCAATTAATTTCTTTCTACTTTTTAGTAGAGACGGGGTCTCGCTCTTGCTCAGGCTGGCCTCCAACTCCTGAGCTTGAGCCATCCTCCTGCCTTGGCCTCCCAGAGTGTTAGGATTACAGGTGTGAGCCACCGCGCCTGGCCTAGCTGTTTAATTCTTCCCAGGAAATGGCACTAGCATCCATCCAGTTATAGACCCGGAATCCTGGGCAGTCGTCCTTATTTATTCTTCGTCTTTACTTAATCTTTCCCCATCCAGTCACTCACGCAGTCCTGCCAACTCTACCTTCTAAGTATTTCTCATACCCAGTCACATTTCCCCCCAATCCAGCCTCCTACCTAATCTCATTCCCTGAACTGCGCCAGTACTCATTCTAACCAGACTCCAAAGCATCTGTTCTTCATTTTCAGAGTATTATGTTTACAAAGCAAATATGAACAAATACGGAACTCTTCAATGGCTCCCCATTGCATTTAAGGCGAAGTTCAAACTCCTTAATATGTTTGATTCTTAAAAGGCCCCATGGTTCCTGGTTCCACCTTTTGTGAATTTTCTCTTTTCCTTGAAATTCCTCTTGCCACCTTTGCCCATGTTTCTGTCTGTCAAGAATAGTTGTTCTTTCTTTTCCCTTGGCCTGACTTACTCTTATTCGTGCTAAAGGTCTCATTGTACAGCTGAATTCTTCCAGGAAGCCTTATTTGTCCCCTAAGCCCTGTAGTAATCTACTTTACCCTTAGTGACCCTCACTTTCCCATTGGTATTACTTGCGATGCTAACTTGTCATTCATTGCCTATTTTGGTTGCATAAGGACAAGAACTGTATCTGCCTTAACTGTTCACAGTTAAATTGTCAGCATCTCTTGAGCAATTCAAAGTAGTCAAGTAAAGGGACAATAAGTGAATGAATAAATGAAAACTGATCAGTTGCTATGAATTTGGGCATTACTTATAAAGATATATTTTTTTAAAAAGATAACTAAGATTTACATCCTCACTCTAGGGCCCTCCTGGCATGAGTGGAAGAAGCTGGAACTCCAGCCAACAATTCTCTTATTCTCCAGGTTCACCAGATCATCTCTGTTAGTCTTCAGTTTACTACCACTGAGCAGTGTGCCTTTCTGTGCAGAAGCATCAAGAAGAAATGAGCAGAGAGGTTGGTGGTTGTTTGAGGCCAGAGGTAAGAAATGGGAAGTGAGAGCAGAGACCAGAGCCAGCTTCACAGGCATGTGTTGACCTGTGCTGAAAAGGGCTCACACTTCATTGAAATACTCTGCTACCATCTTAAAATTCTTAATAATTTTATCTTTGAACTTGGCTAGTCATTATGAATCTCACTGAACTTTCATGAATTGTGGGTCTGCTGGAGTTCTGTGCTTATGTTCCATATCAATACCTCTGCAACTGGGTATTTAGGACGCTGACAGCCCCTGAGAGGCCATGCTTTCCATTCAAACCACAACTTGTCTTGTGCAAAGAAAGGCAATGAAAAACTGAGGAGCCTTAATTATATTTTCTAACCACTTACACAAAAAATAATGACCTAGAAGGAAAAGGAAAGATAGGACAACCCACAATTCCTTTTCTTTTCAGTGCTTCTCTACTTATTGGTAAGCTGAAGGTTTTCTCCGGTGGTTTGAATGAGGAGCTTCATATTTTCATTTTGCATTGGCTCACACAGACTATGTAGCTGGCCCTGATCATGGGTTGGAGGTTCTTACTTTTTGAGGGGTGCCTTGCCCCTTCCCATCTTGAAAATGTTCAGACTTCAGATTGGGTCTTTATTATAGAGACTTGAAGAATAGAAATGCATGAATTTGTGGGCTCTGATCCACCATTGAGGGAAAAAAATACCAAGAGTCCAAGCATGTGTCACTTCTGTACAATTTGATAGTAAGGAACTGTATTTCTGTTGGAATCAACAGGTCTTTGAAAATATTGTGGAAACTACAAATGTTTTTCCCAGGAAAAGTGCACATATTTCTTTTCAAACAAAAATTTGCATATTTCAGAGAGTTTATTGGTATCCCGAGGCTGAGGATTATGAAACTCAGGATCACATATCAAATGTAGTACCTCAGAATTACATTAAGAATTGATGGTACCTAATGCTGGGAAAGGAGAAATAACTTCAAATATTTGAAAACAATAATCAGGTTTTCTTTTCTAGCATAATAAACATTCCCGGGTCCTCCAGCCATTTCTCCTGTGACATATTGAGGGTATTTATCCTTGTTGCTCTACTCAGGAATCAGCTTATATAAATGCCTTTTGACATGGCATCCAAAATGAAACATAATACATAAGGTGTGGTCTAATCAGGGAAGAGGAACATGATTGTTAACTCCCTTTGCTGGATACTACACATCTATCAAGATAGCTACCAACTTGAACAGGATTTGGCTGTGAGTAACAGAAGATTCCTAAATAATATTGGCTTAAATAGGACAGGCTTTTATTTTTCTTTCAAGGGAAGTTTTGGGCAGATGCAATCTAGGGTTGAGTTCATTTTGCTTAATCCTAAGGAAACCAGGTTCTTTCAAACTCACTGATTTGCAGTCCCTAGGATGTATCCCTCATCCTCATGGTCCATAGTGGTTTCTGAGTATCATGTAGCAGGATAAAGAAAAGAGATAAAGAAAAAAGAGTCAAAGGGCACTTGCCAGTAGTCTGTTAGGGATGTTAACACCTCTGCCTATACCCATTGGCCAGAACTTAATTGCATGACCATACAGAACTGCAAGAGAGTCTGGGAAATGTGTTATTTATTCTGGATGGCAATATGTTAAGCTAAAAATTATTTTGCTATGGAAGAATGTGATATTGAGGGATTAAGAGTAGCAAAAATAGCTTTGGAGATTGTTTTGTAGCCCATACTGTATTCTCCCACTGAGATTATGTCATCCAGAATTTCTAAGAAGTAATCACAACTATGGCAGCTACCATTTCATAAGCACTCACTGTGCGTCAGACACTGTGCTATGCCTTTTATTTTTTTTAAGACAGAATCTCACTCTGTTGCCCAGGCTGGAATGCCATAGCATCAGCCTAGCTCACAGCAACCTCAAACTCCTAGACTTAAGCAATCCTACTGCCTCAGCCTCCCAAGTAGTTGGGACTACAGGCATGCACCACCATGCCCGGCTAATTTTTTCTATATATTTTTAGTTGTTCAGCTAATTTCTTTGTATTTTTTCAGTAGAGAAGGGGTCTTTCTCTTGCTCAGGCTTGTTTTGAACTCCTAAGCTCAAATGATCTGCCTGCCCAGAGTGCTAGGATTATAGGTGTGAGCCACTGCGCCCAGCCGTGCTATGTGTTTTACATATTTTTTTCACTTAAACTCTACAATTCTATAAATTTATTATTTTCATAATACAGATAAGAAATTTGAGGTCTAGAAAAGTTTAGTAACTTGTTTTCAAACTCTCCTCTCTTCCATAGCAGACATGAATAATCAAATGGAGCTTTTCTTGCTAAAATAAGAGGCAGCTTCAAAATCCTGAACAGAGCACTCAAGGGTGCAATTAACACCAATAATATGAATGATTATTTAGAGTTGTCATATGAAGTCACATTTATTTGCCATGTTGGCCCTAACGTCTTCACTTCTATAGAAAAGGTTTTAGATACATACACATGCAGACATAGCGGGAGGTGGCTTATTTCCATTGGCTCCACTAACATGAATCTATGTTCTTTAATGATGTTCATTTCAACCCTAGAAATTATCCAGCTGACACCAAACTTAAACGTTCTGAGAAAAGGTCAGTTGCTTTACCAGGATGGCACAATAAGTTAAAAGCTGAACTTGGAGTCTGCTCTTGAATTAATGATGCCTGGCACTTGATAGACAATAAATAAATAGCTATTGAAAGATTTGGATGAATGGTATAAGTAGAGATCACATTTCAGATGTGGAGATAAACAAAGCAAAAGATAATTGTGTGAATACTATTGAGCATAATTAAGCTTAATGCAGTGCTTCTCAAGCTGTAGTGTATATAAGAATCACTTAGGGTGCAGATTCCTGGGATCTTACCCCAAGAGATTCTAATTCAGTTTGCCTACTGTGAGGATTAGGTGGCTGCTTTTTCAAACAAGTAATTCTGATGGTTGTGCTCCACTGACCACACTTTGAGTAACGAGAGAATCAAGGAATAGCAGGTGCTTAAATTACATGATCAAGTGTTCTAAGTTCTCTTTTTTTTAATTTATTTTACTTTTTTTTTTTTAGTTATCATTAAGCTTGATTTAAGATCTAATATTGACTCAAGTTTTTGAATGCTTGCCATTTGTTTTCTAAGAGCTTTTTATATATCTCATTTAATTTTCACCACAACCATTTGAGGTGTGTACTATTATTGTGTGTGTTCATGGAAGAACTCAAGACACAGCATGTTCAGAGGAAAGGGATGGGGAGAGGACAATGAAGGGAGGAGGCTCTTTCATGGTTTTGGCCTACGCAATGGGGTAGGCTACTTTATTGAGATGAGTAAAACAGGGGGGCCAGAGTACACATTCTTTGGATGGGGAAAAAGATTGTGCTTTTTATAAGTTGTCTGCGTCTTTTATACTGTTTTAAGTGGAGCTATCAAGTAGTAGCTGTATGTGCTGTGTATCTGTGTTTAGTTCTTATCTTATTGGATCACGGCAGAAGATGGTATATAAGCTTTGGGAAGAGGACGAGTGTGGACACTGCCTTTTAAATATAGAGCAAGAGCAGCCGCAAAATGGATTGGCATGGAAATCCAGAAGTAGAAGGAAACTAGGGGAGCATGATATCAGAGCTAAGGAAGCTGGGTGGTGGGTCACACCTGTAATCCTACCTCTGGCTGGCGGGGGATAAGCTTGGTCAGGTTCCACAAGGTAAGAGAGAGGTTTCCAGTAAAGTATTACATGTTACCAAAGGTCAGAAAGAGTGACACTGATTTCGTACTGGTTTGGTGGACCTTGACCCCGCACACAGGAATGGTAGGTATGAAGCCATAGAGTGGTTTCAAGCTGAAGAGTAAAGTATGGGAATGCATTGTTCCTTTGGAAAGTCAGCTGTGAAGGGATAGCAGAGAACAGATAAGAGGTATGGACCAGGGGAGTTATTTTTCTTTTCTCTTAAGTGAGTACTAAAGCATTTGATGAACAACTGAAATGATCAGTGGAGGGACCTGAAGGGTGAGAATTCCAGAACAGTTCCTATAGGAGGTAAAAAGAGGTATCTGATTTATAGTGAACTGGCCTTCATGGGCAGAGCTTCTGCATTGTTCAAAAGTGATGATGGAGCCTAAGTATAGCGGAAGAAGATTGTAGATTTGTGTTAGGAAGATGGATTCAGTTCTTCCTAGAATCATTCTAATTTCGTTCAATTGTTTTTGATTTTGTGCATATTATGTTGATGCTATAATGAACAGGCTAAACTGCTTTATCAGACAAACCGAAATGTATTCTTGTTAACCTAATTGATAGTCATATGCTAGTTCTGAATATTCTGAAGATAATAAAGAGGAGAATTTTAACTTACGTAATTCTTAACAAATCACTAAAGGTCTTTTAAATTTAAGGAATGAAAGGTATATTAAGAAATTCTCACAATTAGTTAATCTGGTAGGTAAGACACTTCTTAAATTAGCTTTTAAGTCTCCTCATTTGCTAGTTGACTTGATCCATGAGCACGAGTGTGATGACGGTTTGAGACGCGATGGACCACCATAAGTTTGCGAAATAACCTTGATGTTTTAAATGAACATATGTCTAGCAACTACCAATGTTTTAATAAATACTCAAATCATTGTAAATGTTAAGGGGCCTGTGTAATAGTTTTTCCATGCTTTGTGATTATCCTTGGCTTATTTTCTTTGTGTTGTATTTCAGCAAACTTTGGAAGGAAAAAGAGATTCAATGTCTTTGGAGTTTTTTTTCCTGTAGGTTGATGACAAGGCAAGAAAATTTGGAAGCTGGTATTCTGAAAAATAAACTCTATACCTCACATTGAAGTGAGATCATCTCTATCTTTATGAGGGGGCATTCTCTCTCACTGTCTACTACTATTGCCTATGTGTTACCTTACGTTAGTATAAATTGCACATGTATTTTTCACACATGAAAAATAGGCATCACTTGTGGAGTAAGACTTTTCCATGAGTTCTGTTTACTGGAGAGGTGATTTAATTCCTTTCTCAGTACCCC